CTCAGTCATGTTTGGCATCAGAATGTATACACTAAGAATAAATAAATCCTTAGGGGTTGGGTGGCGAGGGAGGCTTTATATTCGTAAAGGCTCCCTTGTTAAGTAAAACTGTCTAGCACAACCATAGCAGTGAGAAATGCATTCTACTTGCATTAATGCTGAACAAGACTAGAGAAAAAAAGAATGAAAACAGATGAAAGAAATGAATAGTCATGCCAGTTTTTAAATGACATTGTAGCAAATGTGAGGCTGAGCTTTAAAGTATAATTGGATTACATGTACTATTATTAGTATTGGATTAGTCATAGTACCTTATGTCTCTATTTCCTGTTTTTTAGGACTCATGCCACAGCTTAACTAAAAGCAACTTTCATAAGAGATTACAATTTTTTTCATAAAAAGCATACCTTGACAAATGCAAGTTTTGTGATAAAAACATTTTTATTTTTCAAACATTTTGAAGCAAATGATGACAGAATTAATTGAATTTATTCAGGGGGAAACATGTGCCTATATCTTGATGTAAAAAGGCAGGGGAAGAAGTATGGAATAAAATGGTCTGCAGTTGTTTAGGAAAACACAGATGTACACAAAAAAATGATACAACTATAGAATAGAATAGAATAGAATAGAATAGAATAGAATAGAATAGAATAGAATAGAATAGAATAGAATAGAAATTACGGTTATTGTCCCTGACTGGGGAAATTATTTCCATTAGGCACACCTACAGAACTGCAGAGTCTTTCAAGAGAGTCTGGCTGCCTACCTGCACTGTCAGGACCCTTCATTGCAAAAGGACTTCCAACAAATTGAGTTAAAAAGTTTTCTTGGCACCTGTAAATGGTACAGCAGCCTCACTTCTATCAGTATGCCCCAAGGCAGGTGTGGGTATATTACAGCTTGCCACCGTCAGTACGTGCATGATTGGATGAATAACTGAATGCAGTATGCAAGTCCCCTGACTTAAATAAGTACAGACAGTTCATATATCAATTTTTCCCCTTCAGCTGCTTTGTGCTTTCAGCTGGACAAATGATGTACATTCTGTATCATCCAATTTTAGATAATTTTCTGATCACAGGGCGAAAGAGGCTTTGAAGTTTTTAATAACCTTTTCTCGCTTATTAATCCACCATGGACCATTACAGACAACCCCTGTTAAAGAACTAAACAAAGCCCTAAAGGGGCTTTAGGCACAAGTTCATTTGCATTAAATAACATGGTATAAAACAAAATAAATGAACATTTATAGTACAAATAAAACGGCAAGACATTTGCATGTAACAAGCTACTGATAGGTTTTCTTCCCCATGTCTACTATTATACCTGTATGGCTTTTAGCAAACCTTAGAAGAAAAATGTTCATGGTCTTCTTCTTCTGTAGGAGTAATTTTTTCTTGGCCCAAAATCTGTGGAGGGCATGACTAACAGCTTTCTTGCAAAAGATACCCCAAACCAATCTATGAATCTCTGCAGCTTATTAACATAGTTTTTTTCCTTTCAGTTAGTTTGTTTAGATAAAAAGCATTTATTTTGACGGTACATTACACCATAGGTGGGTGAAATAGACTGTAGAGAAAAAATAGTAAAAGCTAAAAAACTAAAATTAAGATGTATTATGACTGTTAATGATGAGGTTTTTCCATAATATGTATATGTCTCTTTATATAACATGCAGCTATCAGAATAAAAGTAGTTGAATGTTCTGGTTTGAGGGTACTGAATTTTGATCTGCATTTTGGTGCCCTCTTGTGATCAGTTTCTGTTCTTTCATATTTGAAATAAGCATAATTTTATTTCACCTTTTATTTTATTTGAAGGGATTGTCTTCATTTTTCAAATGTATGTTAATACCATGTTGCTTTTTGTGTATACTCTATTTCTGCACAGGCAAATTTTCAATCCCATTTCAATTTAAAATGGAACAGATTTTATCTTTTATACATAGATCGAAACGCATTTCACAAGGTTATAATCCCTATAAACTGCAGTGCCAAAAAATAACTTGAGCATACGATTTCACTGTTTCCCCTTTATGCTCTAACTAATCTTTTAACCAAAATAGAAACTAGCACTACAACCATGGGCACATATTAAGGATTTAACAAGTTGGAGCGCAAGCCAATCCATCCATCCATCATCCATGGTATTTTCCTTCCCAATTTGGTGAATACATGTGAGGCAGGGTGAAAAAAATGCAAATGGAAAAAAATTAACAATGCCACACTGACACAGGACCACAAACACAGGTGAAGTGTACAGTGGTTAAATTAAGTAATTTTTTTTCAGGTTTTCTGACAGGGTGGAGTACTAGAAGATAATCTATGCATGTACATTGGCAACATGCAAAAAGGCAGAGGCAGCGATTCTATCCCTAGACCTATTTGTGGCAAGGAAACATAACTCCAACAATCAACTTCTATCTCTATTGTTTAATTCTCAACAGAGGACACTCAGAAAACCCTCAAGAATTCTGTTAGTGAATGAAAGCATATACTGTGTAAAATCTACTCTCACCCAGTATTAAACATGAAGGTACACACTTCCCTGACATTCTAGCATCAAATAATTTTTAATTCCTATAAAACGAGCACACCTTTGATTGTACCATCTTTTGATTACTGTGTTTATTTGAAAACAAATCAGCTAGGGTAAAAGTTATGTTAAACCAACACTTAGTAACTTTTCAACCTTAATATAGTATTTTCATAACTTTTGTGATTACGCGTTGACACCCCTGAGGAGGTCTGTATTGCTTTCACCGACACTAAGCTACCTTTAGCAGGGTGGCAGTAACCGTGCCACATAAATTTACTACAAATGCGGAGACTGCTCTTTACCATTAGTTACTTCCCTCTGTCCCCATTCGTTATAAAGATGGAAGTCTATGAAACCGCTTACCCACCACTGGTACTAAGATGGCAGAAACTCCAAAACAGAAAAATAAATAAAAAATTATGTCTTAGGAGACACAAAATTAAAAAAAGGGGAGGATATCCTGATATAATAACAGTCAGGATCAACAATGGCCCAGCTTTCACTCGCTCGTATGAGCTCAAAGACGAGGAGGGATTGCTAACTGATGCTGCCATTTCTCTGTCCCGGCTTCAATGATATGTAGTTTTCTTTCAATAAAAATGTTAGTGTTAACAATCGGAAATTTACATGTAGCAATAAATGGTAGAGATGCACGAGTCAGGATTTTGGAAGTCAGGCACCGATCACCATTCACAAAAAGCAGTGTCTGACGATGGCAAATCACAGCATCAAAACCAACTTCAACTGTTGTCTAATGTACATTGACATTTTATTATTAGGTATCAATATTATAGGAGATGAGAAAATGTCATGAACTGTCCCCTGCTGTGGTGAAGGAGGCAGAGGAAACAAGCTTATTTTAATCGAAAAGAAAGATGGAGAAAATAAAGTTGACAAAGCATGCCCCAAAGAGTTCTCTAGGTGGCTTTTAAAAAGGCAGTTTTATTTTAGCACTACAGTAAAAGGACAGTTTCATCATCCTACCTCCAGCATAGACACTGACCAGCATGTCTTCCCATTCTGCCCCAGTCTGCCCCACATGCTCCTCTGATCCCCTGCTGTCATTCTTTAACCCCTAGTACTTAGCCACTGGAGGGTAGCTTTGGCTAGTTGTAGGCTCTTGCTGCTCTTTCTCAAAAGCACTTCTGTCTGATTCCCAACAAGCAGTAGCCTCTGTGCCACCCTCAGCTTTCTCTTTCCTCAGTGGACTTTCGTCATGCTCCTTGGATCCTCCACATTTAGCCAAGCTAGCCTCGGTCAGCTGTAGCCTCTCCCCACCCTGGCACAGTTTCCTGGTGGATTTATCTCCAAACTTCTGCTTTGCTCTTCTGATCTTTTCTTGAGCTACACTATTTCCCTGCTTTAGTGCGCTGTCTGCCTAGCGGGCTCCTCCAATGTAGCACTCTTGATTCTTTAGCTCCAAAGGGGGGGTACAGTTGCAAGCTGGTTATGGTTCTCTCTCTCCCAGTGTTCTAACACCGATTCCCTGCTGCTTCTGTCTGAGCTCAGAATGCTGTCTCCTTTTCACTTTGTTGTCCGGTTGTTTCCTACCTCTTTTTTGGGCACTCTGACTGAAACAAACATTGATCAGGCATAGGAGAATGATGCATGCGGCTCAAAAAAAAAAAAAAAAAACTCAATGGCCAGTGCTTCAATTCAGTGAAAATGTATAGTTGTAGTTAAATCCAAATGCAGGCAATGGGATTCTATGTGCTAGTCCTAATGGGAAAAGCTGTTTCCCTTCAAGCAAAACAATATAGTGTTTGTCCACTGGGCAGAGCCAAAATAGAGCAAAACCTGAAGTTCATTGGAACTGCTTTAAAGCGATTCATGACACTCAGTCAAAGCTTTGGAATCCACCCCCAAGTTTTACATTCCTATATATGACCTACTTTTCACCAGGGTTTATTTTATTTAATTGTAAACCTTCTTTGCTAAATGACAAAAAAATGTATGTTCAATATGAAAAACATCTTTCTGATAATACTTCCAGAAATTATTTATGATATAAACTTTTTGACACTTTGAAAAGAAATAAACAAGAATAAAATTTGCTTTATTTGTACAACATATATGTTTAAAACAATCCATGACAATACACTAAACTTATTTCAGTTTAAAATTAGATGAACAACATTTTGGCTTTGCTTTCAGGACTCCCAGTTCTTCAAGAACTACTTTATCATTTAGATGTATCTCTTTTTTAACGCACCCGAATCTAACAGCATAACTCCTACAACATGGTTCAATCTGAATACCTTAAATCAGTAAGGACACTTTAGTCACTGCAGAAGGTTGTCTGGGAATGCCATAAGTGCTATCCAAATAGTACTGGCAGTTAAGAATGAGGAAGAAGTATGATTCCTAGCACAAAACCAATTGGCAAAGGGACGTCTGATGTTCCATGGCGCCGCTAGGAACTATACAGTTTGTCACAATCCTTTGCATGACAGGATGTATAGGCACAGCCCCTCCCTCACAGAGTTTAATAAAAATATATTTTGTGACATATACTGTGTGTTACACATCTGTCTTGGGTTTTGTAAAGAAGAGGCTCACCGGTTCACTATATTTGTGTATATTTTGTTTTTTGTAACAATCGTTTTCCCAGTTTCTCAAGTGACATTGTGTCCACTGCATAATGACGTCTGTAAGGCTGTCTGGATTCAGCACAGCTCCTTTCCTACTCTGGACAGAGTTCTTACTGTGACCTTGCAGAAGGTGAAGGGTTAGGAGTTAGGAGCAGGAGCTACTAGCTAAACCTGAGGTATTCAGATGGGGCCCAGTCAGCTCTGCAGAGGCCTGTTAACGAGCCATTTGATTCAGCTGTGTAGAAGAGTTGCATTTAAAAGTTGCCTGATGGTAACTCTCGAGGACTGAGCTTGGGCTAGAGAGTTCCATGGACTCTGAGGATGCACTTTGTAAAATAACAGGGTGCTTGGTTCTTTATTGAACTTACATAAAGTGGCCCGCCCTCCAGAACCATATGCATTAGTTCTGAAAATGTACATTAACTACATTTTTAACGGTATTTTTATCACATTTCTGCTGCAAAGGTATTATTTTTAAGTCCAGATGAAAGCCTTTTCATTTAATATGCTGGCCAGTTTAATGTTAAAGGGTTGGTAAAACTGACTGAGGAGGTTTCTGGTGGCTGGAAGCATAGGACCAAGGCTCCTGTCTTTTGCCCGACGCGTGTTGGACATGGGACGTTTGGTCAGTGCTGCTTCCACTTGCTCTGACAGAGGACCTACAGGGAAAGTGGAGGACACTTTGTGAGTGATGTACAGCCAAGGAGATGCAAAATTTCCTAGAACTTGTGTATACATGGTACATACCCACACTGAGAAAATCAAAAACTTTTCTGATTGTCCTTCTAAGGTTAGCTGCATAGTCCTCAAGTCGAAGAACTAGAATCTGCTCTTTTTGGAAAACTGTCAGCCAGTCCAAAATAAAGACAAAGTACATTCCCAGAGTCACTCTCACCTGTGAGCAGAAACATCGTAAATACATAAAAGGTATTTTCTCAGATACAAATTTAGATTTATTACAAATTCATTTTTTAACATTCTTTTACATTCAAAATCCAAATCCTTGAGAGACAGTAGGTTTAGTGAATTTAAAATGATAAAAATGAATAAAGCAAGAAAGAAAAAAGAAAACAAAAAACCGTTTGGTGGAAACAAAATTTAAAATATCAAAGCCATTGATGTCTTTGTTTCCATATAATTGATATTTCCTTTTTCCTTACAAGTATTGTTAAATGAAATAATAGGGCCTCAGTCCAGATGCTGTGACACACTTACTCCCCCAGAGGTCACTAGAATATCAAAAAAAAAAGTAAGATTTGTAGCTTACTATCAAAATGAATACTTATATACTATAAATGCATGAGTTTATGTTGAGTGTATATTTTTTAGAGGCTTGAAACCAATTATATGACCTCAAGAGAACTTATATTTGCTTTAAAATGGAAACAGTGTTCCAGAAAGTTGATTGTCACTCACTATTTGAGACCAATGGAGACCAAGCGTTATGTTAAAACATCAAGTCAAAATTATTTCTCCTTTAAAAGCAAAGATTACTTCCTTACAGGGTGAAGGCTCAGGGGGAAGCAGTTTATCCTCTGAGTGAAAGATTGCTGGTTTGAGTCGCTGTTCCGTCTGTCTCAGCTACTGTGTTGTTGGGTAAGACACTCTACCTTGGTACAATCTTATTGAAATCCGGCTTCTGTCAGTCTATCCCAGTGTAGCTATGGCTACGTCATTATCATACCACCTTAAAAGAGTGAATGACTGGATATTGGACATTTACAGTCCCCTAAAACATATTTCAAAATTACAGAGTAAATGTTGCAGTGTTTAAGTAACACTTTGAGAGTACATTTGGTTTCAGACTAATTAAGAGTGGGACCATATGTACTCTTGAGTGTAACTTTAACACTGCACCATTTACTGTGTTCAATTATACTCTAACAAGAGATAATTATAGTATGAAGGAATTTAAGCTTAAATATATTTTATATTTACAATTTTCTTGTGATTTGAGGTCAACTCAGGAGGCTGAGAGAAACATGCATTGAAATAAAAAATTATTTTAAAACAAGCTTCAACAAAAGCAAATATAGATTTGAAAGAGGGGAATTTTATTGAGTGATGCTAGCATATAGCTTACCGGCATGGTGTTAAAAAGGCTGGTGTTGTAGACACATGATCGTAGGGACCTCTCAGAGAGACAGGACTGAAACAACTGGACAGAATCAACAACCTTCTGATGAAAATCCTCTGCAGACTTGTTGGCCAAGGTAAAGTACAAATAATCAGAGTACAGCCTGAAAACAGAAAACAATGGATTTTAAAACAAGTTAGACATTAAATTATCCTGGATTTAGAAGCAGTTAAAAAAGGAAAATGCTCATTCCTGTTTTACAACAACTATACTTAGCAGAAAAAAGTTCTAGTTTTTACCTCTCGACTGGATCCCTGAGCATAATGATGATCTTGGCACCAGGTTGAACAGAATGAATGAAGTCCTGAGCCAGAAAGTGAGGTTCTATCTGCTTCACGTTTCCATGGAGATAGCTCCAGGCTTGATTATCCCACATAGTGGATGCACTGGCATCTCCTGTATTTAACATCAAAGAGGGCTTAAAATAACAGCAGATTTTAAAGATTTTTCAGCAAAACACCAACAACTTGTCAGTTTAACACAAATGGATAGGCAAAGCAAGGGTTTAAGAATTAAAACATTCCAGTTACAGGTATAGAAAAAAATAGAAAGTGATTCAGGGAATCACACAACTGGCTTTAGCTGCATTAACAAAAAAAAAACCTTTTTAAACCTTTTTTTTTTTTTTTTTTCAAAAGATAGTCTAAGAATGATAATTTTGTCACATCTGTTATGACATTGGAATATATCCTTATCTAGCTTTTATTTGTATACCTCACTTTATAGTTTAGTATATATGAACCCAGTTGAGGAATGTAATTATCCTCGCAGTTTCCTCTATTTGAAGTGAAAAAAAAAAAAAAAAACATTAAAGGAAACAAAGAGATTGCAGGGGGCAATAACATCTAAAGAAAATAAAAAAGAGATCCAAAACATCTCTGTACAATCTGATTTAGTTAAGTATGATTTATTTATTGTAAAAAAGAAAACAATAAAAAAAAGGCTTTCTTTTTTTGGGTTAAAACTTTTGTTCGGTTTGGAAAACTTTTGGGAAAAGTTTTTAATTTTGGGACCCTGGGTTTTTGTTCGTTTCGGAATCCCAGGTTGTTTGTTCTTCGTTGAAAGGCCGTTCTTTTTTTTGTTTTTTTGGTTATTTCAACCTGGAGAGATTCACACAGAGATGAGCTCCAATTAGAAAGGTTTTATTGACATCAATGAAATAAGTTGTTTGGCGCTCAGGCCCCCATAAGAAAATTTTTATGCGACTCAACATTTGCTTGGATGAGTAACCAAGGAAAAGAATAAGAATATGAGCAGCCCGAGAATGAGGGAGGAGATGTGCCGAGGTGGATTAGAGTTCGCTGGTGAGCAGAAGGTAAGCTGGGCCAGAAGATAAATGGAGGGGATCTGGAAAGACGATTGGCTTCAGAAAAGGTGCGGTTCCAACATTGATTTGGCTGGAGCTTGAACGTGGGACATCAGCAGGTGATTTAGGTGTGAATAAGAATTCCAGATTGAATTTTCGCATAAATTTAATTTAAACTGGTAAAAGTTCTAACATTCATGATTTTGTTGTGAATTTGCAGTAAACCCCACTTTTTGGAGTTGGCTTTTGAGTTTGATGCTCAGTGTTCTTTTAATGTTCAATTTCAACAGTAGAAAAAGTTGCTTCATGGAATCTGAAATAACATGTGCAGCCTGAAAAAGCGCCTGTTTTCCTGTTTGAATAACCACAGAAAACTTGCTAGAAAATTTTCAATACTTAACTCAATCATATGAATGTAATAAAAAAATAAATAAAGTGGCGAAAAAAATAAAAAAAACAGATAGATTTTAATATCTTCAAATATTGTTTTTAAATAATAGACTGCCGCTGTCAGAGTGAGATTGTTTTTAAGTACCATAGCATCCCATAATGTAATTTTCCTAAAGATAATTTCCGAACACCATTCGTTCCATTAACACTTTCAACTAATGTACTCCCACGTATTGGACCAATTTAGTTTAATGCTTTCTACTCTCCTAAAATCACTCCACATTCTTTTATCTTAAAGTCTCTTCTTTTATTTGAATATTTTGTTTGTTTTTATTAAAAACAAATGCACTTCTAATTGGAGCTTCTCTCTTATCTTTGTGCTTTATGTTCATGTGATGTTTTTAAATTAAATGTAATGATAATAATAATGAATTTTATTTATAACACACTTTACATTTGACTTCAAATCTCAAAGTGCTACATTTAAAAAAAGGGAAAATTAAAACAAGTTTAAAAGACCATAACATTAAAAACAGAGTAAAAAGACAATCATTAAAATCAATACATTAAAAGGCATACGTAGCCTATTAAAAAATCTAACTCATGTGTCTCATTTATAACCTGATATAGGCTTCTAGAAAATCATAAACTGGATAAATATTGACACAAAAATATTTTTTGACAGTTTAAACTATAAACTTAACTTAAAATCTAAAATAAGGATAAACACTATATTTTCTTTAAAAAAAAAAAAAAGCCATCAAGAACCTCAATCTTCCTCCTCCGCCCATTGTGACAACACATGCAAACACACACATGTTCACCTGTTATAATCTGAAGTGCAGGGTGCTCTCCAGATGAATTTCCACAGATGGCTTCTTGGATGTTCATGGCTGCCAAATCAAACAAATCCAGGTAATCTGCTATCGGAAAACGCTCCTGGAAGCCTTTTTTGAAACGGATATAACCTACAGGGGAAAATTTAAAATTGCCTTTATTACACACTCATCAAACCCTTTCTTGCCATTAAATGTTTTAAATAAACATCCCAAACTTAATTTTATTGTATATCTTAAAATATTGTCTTTTTGCAAATAAAGTAGTTTAACCCAATTTTTCACTTAAGTTAAATGTACAACATAAGTGTATATAAACACAGAATTATGAATTCACTGGTAGCGGTTGGGTTAGCGAAACTGATTTATTATTTAAGAGTAAAAGATGAGAACTAGTAAAGGACAAGTAAAGCCTGTATTAGCATCCGAGGATAAAAGTGTCTTTTGGAGTCTTCAAACATTTTCTACATCTTCAAACTTTACAGTCAATAATTTTAACATTTAGGATTTATGTGACAGAATAACATAAACAGCATCATGAAGAACAGGAAAGTTAAAGATGAAGTTGTGCTCTCAAAAAAATCCTAACTTCTAAAGATTATATGGAGAGTTGTTTAAGCTACTATCTGGAAATGGAAAATGTAACACATGCCATTCCACTTAAACTGACATGCAGGCCAGGGGGAGTATTCATCAGAGAAGCAGCCAAGAGGCCCATGGTAACTTTAAAGGAGTTGCAGACATTCATAGGTCAAGTCAGAATCTGTCAACAAAAGTACTGCAAGTTCTCCGTTGAACAAGTTCTGGCCTCTACAGCAGGATGGTAAAGCCAAAACTACTGTTAAAAATTGCCGTAAGAAGTCCGGATTTAAGTCTGCCACAAGGAAACACAGCAGCCAGGTGGAACAAGGACTTATGAGACTAAAATTGAGACTATTCTCCTATGTCCAAAAGTCCGGGTAGCAGAAAACTGACTCTGCACATTTCCCTGAAAACACCAACAGCGACATTACAACTCCTATTAGCCCTGTCCCCACACAGTGCTTGCTCATTGGTCCGTTAGTTACCAACATCACTTTAAACAGGTGATCCCTGTGGACAGCGCAGTTGTGAAGCTGTAGGGCAGTGATGTGGTGGCAAATGCAAGGTCCCAAAAAAAAATACTAATGCTAACAATAATTAATCAAATAAAACATAGGAAATACGAAGGCCAGCTACAGTATAGTAGTAGCCGTTCAAAATTTCCCCACTTTCCTTGATGGGCTCTTGGCTGGTCCACTACAATTCCTCTTTAAACATCAATCTTTGTACCAAAATATTCTGTCATGATTTGTGGACATTAAAGTCTAAAGAGAAGTGTCATCTTCTGGTCAGATCCTGTAGTTAAGTGATAGGGTGGTGTTGCCATTTTTGATCACCGTTACCAACTTAGTGAATTTGTCACTATAATCTTTGGCTTTACAGACCCCTACAGAGAGAATTTTCTAAAAGCAACTAAAGAGAACTCTAGCAACATTTTTCCTGAGTTGTTGGGGGATTTGGTGACCAAGTGGAAGCACCAACTGCTCTGAGTTGAATGTCTTTAACAATTAATGAATGAGCAAGACCATTTTTCCACCAAAACACTAACGGGCAGTCAGACACAGCAGCCCTGCTTCCCCACTGAAAATGAGTAATGCATGTGCAAAGCTTCCATGGATCCCCTCCCGAATTAAAAAGCAGACTGTAAATATGTAAGTAAAATATATCCTACCCTGCAATTCATTCAAAAACAGTTGTAACACCACATAAATTGTTATAATAGTACAAAAATAAAGTCATAATAAAATAAGTGTAAAGTTGGAAGAGACAAAAAGTTAAATGAGACAGAAGCTTTGACATTGTTATCAACCAAGCTCATCCAAACGGTAGCCTGGGCCAAGTATTTAAATTAGGGCTAAGATATTTTCTTTTTTTGAAATTTAAAGGAGCAGTTTTTTTACATTAACCTAATGTGTTCTATTGTAACTTTATTGTCGTGTTACGATTTTATCTCATAATGTAAAGATTCCTGCATCCTAGGTTTGGACCCACTCAACATCAAAAATTACAAACAACAAATGAGTACTACATGTTTTTCTTTTGAAATTCTTTCCATGTTATGCTTTTACATATTTATGTCTGGAAACACTTAGAGTTTAGCTTCACTTCACTTTCAAACAACTCTCTTTGTTGGATAGTTTGTTAGATGCATCTTTCATTGAAACCATCACACTTTCAGATCTAGATCCTTTTAGCCTTACCAAAGCGTCTCCTGGTCCACCAATGTGGCTCCTTAATGGTGTTATATTTCACCTCTGGTAGCATCAAGAGTCTGTGAAACAGGTCTGTTGTGCCACACTTTGGCTGACCTATAATGTAAAAGTAGGGCAAACAGCGCAGTCGAAAAAGTTTCCCGTCTATGTTGCATAAGTTCTGATGGAATCGGTCTCTCATGTGGTTACACACATTCTTGAAACTTTTTGAGCGTAGACTGAAGTGGTTGTTCTTGTATGGGTCCATGCCAGTTTCGCCAGAGTATTCCTCATACCAGCATGGGCTCTTGATGTTGGGCAGGAAACTTCGAGGAATCACTGAAAAGAACTAAAGAAAATAAAAACATTACAAATGCATTGCAGAATGTAAACCCAACTAAAGGCTTTTTTTTAAGACTATTAGATCCTAATGGGAGGTATTATTTTTGGTAGCACTGTCACACCTAACATTTTCTTAAATGCCCTATCTTAATACCTGTTGGCTTAGGTTTTGATAACCATGACTAAAAGTATGAAAACATCAGTCATTTATAATTAGCGGTTATATTACAGGATTCTGTAGCTTTAGCCATGATGAATCATTGCCTACTTGGCACTCTTTGTATGACTGTTTTAGTCTTTGATTCATGTCTGACATATAACACTGACTGGTGTTTAACTTAATGACTCACACATGTTGCAACCTCTGCCGTTGGTTTCTCTAGAAACACTGCAATAGTGTGGGTTGTACATGGAAACCTGTAATGAGGCTATAATGAGCAGAACTGCATTAGCATATCATACCAGAGGTTATTACAGGTAGGCCTAAAGCAATACTTAGAGAGAGTATGTCGCTTGCAAAAACAGGCCATTAAAAGCTTCACCAAAGAAGCATTTACTATTGGGATTATTCCAATGCGAAGTTGTTTTCTAAGTTGTTTCTTTCTGTTGTAGTCTAATCAGTGCTGGGTAAATTGCCCTGCAAAACAATTAAAACCCTCTAAACCTTTCAAATATTTTCGTGAAAAGGGAGAGCATTTAGCTGAGGAGCCAGTAGGCTCATTCTCATGCAAAAGGAGAGGCATAGGTGAGACAGCTTAGGTAAGAAGCTCTTTAACCATAAATCTTCCCTTTATAAAGGAGGTGAAAAGAAATCCATAAACAGAATTATTTTTTGTTTACCATAAGATACAGTAGCAAAACTGTCTGAATAAATTCTCAGTTTAGAAGGGTCCATAATTATTATTTTTACTCTGAAGAAAAAACTATGCCTGATGTAAAACTAACACAGCATCTCCAGCATCAAGCATTAGAGCGGTCTTTGTCCATAACAGGTAGAGAAGCTGGTCAGTTTCAGTAGGACAATCATCCTAAAAAAGACATAGAACTCAATAGTTATCCCTTGTTCAAATTGTATTGTAAACCCATTTCATAGTCTGTGGCATGACTTCAGCCTTACAGACTCAGACTCTCCATCCAATGTGACCAAGCCTCATCTATTTTGACAAGAGGAAAGGGCAAATATTTTACTCTCTAGAGTCACAAAACTGGTAGTGAAAACACCTTAGAAGTATCTGATCTTGACACTTTAAATCCAATCAATGCCACGTTTTCTTTGAATTTTTGAAAACAAAGCATCCATTTTCTTTACCCTCACAACTATGTACTACTATATGCACTATGGTTGGTTGATATAACACCGAAAACTATGTAAAGGTCCTTGGATGCTTTTTGGCAAAAAGATTCAAGAAATACATTTACAAGGCTCTGTACAGCCTGCTCCTATAACAGTTTCATAGTTATTTAGTTAGCTGCGGTGTATAAAAAGTTACTTAGACTTACATGTGGATCTGTGTTGATGATATCTTTTTCATTGGGTACCTTCCTGGATGTGCTCTGCTCAATGGAGTTAATCATCTCTACCAGCATTTTTACGTTTATTAAACTCTTGTCATGAGAAACCTGAGCTTTTGTTGTGCTGGTCGTGATAAACTGGGGTCTGACAGGATGGGGGAAGGTAAATAGCAAATCTCCTTTTCTGTCCAACATCAGTGTGTATGAAGCCGTGATGAGGAAAAACAGTGACAGACACACAAGGAAACTAACGACCTTGACTTTCGAGATGCACGTCAGGTTAATTAACCACAACAGTGGGAAGCCCTTGATGTCAAGATTTTCTGGTGTGTTTGCGTGCCTGAAGTCCAGAAATGTCCTAATAGATCTTTTCCCAAAGTTGTCAGTTAGTGGCAAGTTGTGGAGCCTGTGACTGTGGTCCTTCTGTGTGTTGTTCCCATGTTTGTTGTCTTTTAGAGACATACTGACAATAAAGCAGAGCAGGCATGTGGAAATAGAGGGCAGGCAATCGTTTTATCAGAAAGGTAATGCTTCCCTGCAAGGTCTTGTGTTAACATCCACATCCTCCTTCGTCTTCATTTTTTTAGGTCAGATGCCAGCAAAGCCTCCTGTAAAACAGAAACACTTGTTCAACACATGACTTTAAAAATAAAAGTAACTTTGGCTGCCTAAAGGTATTACAATGACCTTCCCACAAACAGGGAGAAAAATGTTTTTCTAAGTGTTATAAAGTTTTAATTTTAGCCCCATGCATTAGCATTGGAATTTAAACCATACATTTCTATAACAGAAGCCATCCCTAAACAGTTTAACTTTACCTTCAGAATGTGTGTGGCCTGCTATATAAAGATCAGCTGCCTAATAGAGATGGTTGTACAGTGCCTGCCAAGCATTAATCAGTGGTAAGACTTTGAACGACATAATTATAGTTAAATCTAATACCAAACTACATACACTGTGTTATCAAAACCTATGGCGTGTCTTCATTTGGGGACATACAATTATAATTTTAAGGTCAAGGTTTAATAAAAAGAATGTCTAAATTTGGTATTTATACATTATAATATACATTTTGAGCATGCACTTCTCACCATTTAGATTATAATAGACAAAATGAAAAGGACCAAAATATCTATACAAACAAGTCAAAAGCTTTACCAAAATTAAGTACAACTGATCGAGTTCTTGTCTCAGCTTGATACTGCCCCAGCAGCTATAGATTTTGTCTTTATAAGTATTCTCACATCTGCGGTGCATTTTTTCTTAAAAATGGTTTAGAAGAACATACCAGCCAGATCACCTTTAATTTGGCATTATTCAGCGAGTAAATATTCAGCACGCCACCATTTTTCTCAGTAAATATATTTTTTGACAAGATATTTTCACCAGATGTCGGTAAAAATCCATGCAATCCACACATACAAAGAAATCAAACCAAAGATATCCCGTAATTAAGTTATGTGTAATAATGTGGAATGGCACAGGGAAGAAGTATTGAACACACTAACTGAAATGTATTTAACACTTTGTAGAAAAGACATTGTTGGCAATGCCAGCATCAAGACGTCTCCTGTACGGAGAAATGAGTCGCATACATTGCTCAGGTGTGATTTTGGCACATTCTTCCACACAAACAGTTTTCCAATCTTGAAGGTTTCATGGGTCTCCTCTATGAACTCAGTTAGGTGATTGGCTGGGCCATTCTAGCAGCTTTATTTTCTTTCTCTGAAACCAATTGACAGTTTCCTTGGCTGTGTGTTTGGGGTCATTGACTTGCTGAAATGTCCCCCCATGTTTCATCTTCATCATCCTGGTAGATGGCAGCAGATTTTTATCAAGAATGTCTCTGTAGATTTTTCTATTCATCCTTCCTTCAATTGTTTGAAGTTTGCAGTACCATATGCTAAAAAACATCCCCACACTATGATGTTCCCAACTCCAAACTTCACTGTTGGTATGGTGTTTTTGGGGTGATGTGCAGTGCTATTTGATCTCTAAATATTTTGTGTATTATGGGATCCAAGAGTTCAATTTTCTCCACTCCTTCTTCTCCCAGTATTTCACAGGCCTGTCTAAATGTTGTGCATCAAATTTTAAACAAGCTTCAACATGCTTTTTCTTCAGCAATGGAGTGTTGCATGGTGAGCGTGCATAAAGGCCATGGTGATTGAGTGCATTACATATTGTTTTCTTTAAAACAATTGTACCTGCTAATTCCAGGTCTTTCTGAAAATCCCCACAAGTGGTCTTTGGCTCTTGGACAACTCTTCTGTTATTTCTTTTCACTCTTCTATCAGAAACCTTGCAAGAAGTACCTGGTCATGCTTCTGGATTAGGGCCCAAAAGGTGCTCACTGGAACATGCATTAACAGGGGGAAGAGGGCTGGCTCTGACAAAATGGAAAGCTCAAGATCTACAATAAACTGAATAAATGTCCTATAGGTATACACTAAAATTTGCTTTTGCATGACTTAATTTTGCTTCTGTAATGGAAAAATAAGCTCTGGTGTGAATGTGCAGAGCTCCCTATTATAGTAGGATCTTCAGAGGCAATGGAGCCAGCACTCTGCACAGACACACACAAACACACGCACACACGCATTCTGCTATATGTAGTGAGGACCATGTGTTGACTCCGATTGACTTCCATTGATTTTCAGTAATTTTCAACCCTTTCTATGACCTAAACCTAAAACTAACCCTTAACCTAACCATTACCCATGCATACCTCACCTTAACCCTAACCTACCGTATTTTCACGACCATAAGGCGCACCGCACTAAAAGGCGCGTCTCAGTTATGTGTGTCATTACTGTATTTAACACACACATAAGGCGTACCGGATTATAAGGCGCGGGTTTTATATACTGGTACACATCCTCTACTACGTTTAAATACCTCTACTGCGTATTTAAAAATAGAGCGGGAGCAAAACTGAGTATGTTTGTGCTTTACTCATGTATTTATTACAAAGTATTAATCAAACCAATCGAAGTCATCATCCTCTGTTTCTGAATTAAACAGCTGCGCTGAATCAGACATGCCAATTTCCCCTTCTTCAATGTCAGAGTCACTTTCCGTGCCGGGCGGCTCCTCAGAAATAATGCCGGCTTTTGCAAAAGCTCGAACAACAGTGCCAGCAGACACGTTAGTCCAAGCATCTACAATCCATCCGCAAACGGTGGCAAACTTGCCCGGCGCTGCCTTCCACTTGTCGTGAAACTGTGGTCTCCGTCGGTCATCAGTCGCTACCACGCTGCTCGCAGCCTTACTTTGAACGGCCAGTTCACACCAATGTCGAGCGGTTGAAGTTCCTTTGTAAGACCTCCCGGAATAACAGCAAGCACAGCATTCATTTGTTTCACCTTGTTTTTTCACATCGGCTGTGAGATGGGCACGCACGGAGCCACAGATTAACAGCGATGGTGATGCGTGGAAAAAACCACCTGGTCTCCTTACATACACCTCCCTCAGCCACTCTTTCATCATCTCCTCATCCATCCAGCCCATTTTTATTTGCCTTAACCCTTTAAAGCCCGATCCAAGAATAAAACAAAACAGAAAATTACTTTTTTTTTGGTTTGAAGTCCTTATTTGGCCTTTTAACAAAATATGTAAAAAGAAAAAACAGAAATACATTTTTGATATTAAGAATTTATTACTATGCGATAAGTCAAGATTATTTTTTATGTAGTCTTCTGCCCTCTGTTATCAGGTATATCTGATTGTGTACAATAGGATTTTGAGCAAAGTTTTTACCATTAAATTATGCAAAAGGTGTCAGACGCAAAATATTTCAGAAACCGTATGTATCAAATATGATACATTTAGCATTACAGGGTTAATAACGACTCCAGCTGGAAAAGTCTCTTTAGGCAAAGTCTTTCTCTTAAAAATCACCATAGGCGGCAGTTTCTGTCCATTTGCGTGGCAGCCAATCCACGCCCACACTTCCCCCTTTAACGTTCTCATGGCGGTCTCAACAACGTCCGCAGTAACAACACACATAGGGCGCACCGCACTATGGGGCGCGCCACACATTTTGAGGGGAAAAAAAGACGTTTATATGCGCCTTATAGTAGCGAAAATACGGTAATTGACACATTACTGTAGCCTTAAATCGAACCATTAGCAAAATAGGTTGTGAGGACAAAATGTCCTCACTTTGCAACAACTGGTCCTCAATTTGATGGTGAAATTGGAAAAACAGTCCTCACTCTGAGTGCTAGACAGGTACACACACACACACCTGCACACATACAGTACATAAAAACATTTGAAATATGTTTAAATCATGTCTTTATGTTTATAACAGTGTAAGCACATCTTGATCTGTTGCAGTACACTGTGTTATGGAAGCTTGGCTGCAGAGAAAGGGAAAGGGAGGCAAGGCAAAATTCTAATGCCACTAAAGGAAAAAAAGGCTGGTCAAACAAAGATAGATGAGAAAACAAAGGTAGTAATAAAACCTTTTTACCATGTGGACAAAATATCAGAAGTCCGAGTAATATGAAAGAAAGACAGCAACAACACTTCCTGTTTCTTTGACAGGAAATCTCAAACTGCCCTGAGAGCAAAAACAGCTCAGGAAATTGCCTTAATCCATTTCTCTGTGCTGGACTACAGCTTCCTTCTCTTTTCACTCTCTACAAAGAAAAAAATATTAGGGTAGCCTATTGAACTGACTGGCCAGTAACACACAAAAGTGCAGTCTAAACAAAAAGGGTACATGCTTGGCAAAAAGTTATAATAAACTATAACTGCAGTAGCAGTACACATTGACATCTGGAGCACAGATATGATGTCAATGTAGAATTTGCACCTGTGTGAGTTCGTTTATATACAAGCATGCAAATGTTTTTGTTATAGCCATATGTCATTTGGCTCAGCATACCTTGTAAACGAAAAATTACATGAGCGTGAAGTGTTGAGAAGGTCAAAATACATAGGGATGATCTTGTGTCATTCTGGGTGGGCATGTTCTTTTAAACATTATCTTTGGTCATATTTCACACGCAGTTTTCAATGTGCAGTAGTTTCTAACATAAGTTGCTGTAGAGAGTTTATCTTTAAAAAGCCAGATGCTTTAGTGCTGCGAAATTTATTAGTGACCCTCCTAAGGGTCACTAATAAAGTGAATATAAGGAACATTACTAAAGTGAATATAAGGAAGAAACAGCTGGTAGCAGCTGCATCAGATTAGATTAAAATTCCAGGGGATTCCATTCCCATCCGCAGGACCTGCCCTGAAGGAAACCCTCTCTGGTGGTCAGTACATTGGCAGACTGATCCACATGAGTTCTCATTGGATTCTCCTGCACCTCATGACCACATATACTCACACCACCTATGCCTCAGTGCTGTAACCCTATCCAACCATACTCCTCAAGCTACCCCACCCGAACATTTCCTACTCATTCCACTTCATGCCAGCCTGGACTATCCAAACAGAACCATATAGTCAGGGAAATGGCTAAAGGGGCATATACGTAGTTTTGATCTTTTCACTTTGTATTTTCTGGTCCAGTCCCTGCTACCAGCCCCGCCTATTAAACATAGAGAAATTTTCCTCTTCTTCCCCTTCCAAATTTTCTCTTTGGTTCTATGT